GTCTAATCAAAGAAAGGTTACTGGGGCACTTTGTCTTTTGGTAAGATAATGTGACAAGTTTATTATTGACTCAGCAGTAAAAACAGATCAACAAGTGTCATGAAAATCTAAGTCTTAGTACACCCAGTATGGACTCGTGTTGCTCTGTTTTTTATCAAAAGGATAAACTTGTTATTATAATTTAACCAATACTCCCTAAAATGGCATCAAAATCCTTCCAGTCCTGATGTCGAGCACTCTTTTTCACTACTGTGTTGTTGTTGTTTATAGACTCTAAGAGCAGGATGGCTAAAAGAAAGGCCAGTCCTGAAAAGGAGACCCCCGTAAAAAGAAGGAGGGTCACTGAGCAGGCTGCTCCTTCCACCAGCTCAGATACACATGAGGTCAAAGCAGTGAAGCGTAAGGCCCAGCAAGATGGAGCGGGCACAACCAGTCCACCAAAGAAGATTAAACTTGCTGAGCCTACGAGTGGAGACAGGGAGCAAGCGTCTTCCTCTGTGGATGCTGGTAAAGGTAGGCTAATTAGTTGAGTGAGGGGTAGATTAAGTGCACAGCTGGTTGCTCGGTTTAAGATATTAGTGTTTGGGAGATATTTGTGTGTATGATCTAATACGCTGATGTGCTTTTGATGTTTTCCACATCTGCAGACTGCAGTCAAAACACAAAGGGGTGCACAAAAAATGGCAGAAGGAAGTCTGCAGGAGACAGCAAAGAGTCACCTAAGAAAAAGAAAAAGGACAAAACCAAAAACGTCGTCCAAAATTCAGCAGACGACCAGCAACGTAAGTAGCAAGCAGCTTGGCTTTTATACTCAGGTGAAGAGCAACATTTAGGGTACAGCAGAGAGTAATTTGTGTCACAGCTGTAGTAAAACAACATTTGTGTCTTTTCAGGGGAATACCAAGCCAGATATGTGCAGGAGCACCATCTAGGAAATGGCGGCTGTGGAGCAGTGTTTGCTGGCTACAGGATAACAGATCATTTCCCAGTAAGTGTTCAGATGGTGGGAGTAAGACAGGCAGTAACGGAGATAACGGATAATATCGTCAGCTGAGCATTAAAGCTGCTGTTTTACACCTTTAATGATGTCATACAGAGGAAATGCTCACCAATGCTCTGTGTTTTTCAGGTAGCCATCAAACACGTTCCCAAGGACAGAATCCCCATCCAAGTGACGGTAAGTGTGCAACACTTGAACGGTTTTTACATTCCTGGACTGAGTGCAGAGTTCACCTGTGAAACGTCTGTTCCTCATCATCCACTTTGTTGTAATATATCAGGATGAAAATGGGAAGGAAGTCTCAGTGGAAGTGGCCATTTTGCTGAAGCTTGCAGCTGAAGCAGATGGATCAGTGGGAATGTCGGCTCCCGTTTCTCTGTTGGACTGGTTTGACTTCGGCACAGAGCTGATCCTGGTGCAGGAGAGACCTGTCCCCGCTGTGGACCTGTTTGATTACATAAGAGAAAATGGAGGATGTTTACCAGAAGAAAAGGCCAAGGTAAGTTGACTGGAAGAGCCTTAGACTTTACAGCATTCAATCAAAGCACAGAGTATCAGAGAAGCATCAACCTGTTGACTAATTACTGTCTTTTTCATCTTTTCCAGGTCATTCTGAAGCAACTGGTTGATGCAGCAAAGGACCTGGAGGAGAAACACATCTTTCACCGGGACATCAAGAGTGACAACATTCTGATTGAGACCGGCTCAGATGTGCCTCGAGTTCGTATCATTGACTTTGGACTGAGCTGCTTTGCTACGAAGCGATCGCGGTTCCGCTTCTTCTATGGTAACATATTCAGCTCCTGCTCTTCACAGATGTAGCAATTTGTGCCTTTTGTTTTAGAAGAAATTGTAATTGTGTCTGTTTATTAGGTACACCTATCCACACCCCTCCCGAATGTTACTGGGGCAAAAAATACAGGCCTGGACCCACCACGGTGTGGCAAATGGGAGTGGTGCTGTATGAAACGCTTCATGTGGGGGAGTTTAATATCCTGACGTTCCTCGAAAAGGAACTGAAATTCAACAAGCATCTGTCCCCACGTAATAAAACATCACACTTCAAGATTCACTGATGGCTTGGATCACTGGAACTATCATCTTCATCATTTCTCTCCTTTCTTTCTTTCCAGACTGCCGGAATTTCTTGGACGCGTGTTTAACCGATGTCCCGGAGAAGCGCCCAACGCTGGGGGACCTCCAGCGTCACCCCTGGCTCAGATAAACCCATCTCTCACACACACACACACACACACACACACACACACATTTCATATCTTATCATAAGTGTGATACATGACCTAACTTTCTTTTTTTTGTCTTTCTTTCATTTTTTTTGCTTTTTTAACAGGAAAAGATTGTTTTTTGGGTTTTTTTGGCCAATTCTAAATTTTGCTATCATGAAATTCCTGTAAACCCCACCCCCCCCAGCCATCCCAGGAAAGGGGATCTCTCTTTGAATTGGCTTTCCCGAGGTTTCTTCCCATTATTCTGGCCCCCCGGGGAGTTTTTCCTCGTCTTCATAGAGAGCTTGGGCTGGGTCAGGAGCTTCATCAAAATTGGCCTTATTTGATTAGGTTAATGTAATAAAATACGTTGATGTAATCAAAATTAGTAAAAATTAAAAGATTTAACTTAAACTTCCATTAAAACTTGTTTAACTCAACTTTGCTGAGAATACTCTTTCATTACCATGTCAAGGATTGTTTTTTACTCATGATGCATTTTGACAAGTAAGAAAACTGAAAACTAAATCAGGTTAAAGTATGCACAACTAAAGTCACACTGTCACTGCTCTGAAGACTTGCATCCGTTGCCCTAACCTCTAATGCGTCTCAACAGATTTCCCCGATCTAACAGAGGTTGCAACAGTTTTTCCTTCCCACTGTTGCTGATTGTTTGCTCATAGTGGGCTCTCTGATTGGTGGGATTCATTTTCTAATAGTATATGGTCTCTGCATTCCAATGTAAAGTGCCTCTAGACAACAGATGTGACTTGTTGCTATAGTTAAGGTTGAATTTAATCATTAATGTCCATTCAGTAGTGAAAATTTTATATTTCTTAACAGGGGTGGGTTTTGATGATCGATTTATCAATTAAAATTGATTCTGGCTTGGATAACGTGATATCGATTCATTAAAA